GTAGAACAAAACTCACACACATACACAACACCATAAAGTGAACACACACTCACACACAACACACACACAAAAAGCCCCACCAAGTCCCAAGTTCAAATGCAATAACAGTTTCAGTAGTTTTTCGCTTGCAGTGTAATTCGGTTGTTTCTCTCATCAAAGGTAGGGAGAAAAAGAAAAAAAACAAAAGCATCTGGAGACAGTCTGAGAGTGATATCTGCCAACTGTTGGCTTGCCTTGCCTGCCTGCCTTCTCGCCTGCGAGCTGGCGGCATTATTTATGCCAGATCTCGGGGGTGAGCTAGCACTCACCTGGTCCCACAGGCTTCTGTTTGCCTCAGAGCTTCTCCTGTGCAGCGAAAGCCTCTGCTACGGCTTTCCCCTTTCCAAGCACTGCGGAAAGGTGACACTGCCCCCGTGTTTCAGCCGTGTGTGTTTATTTACAGTTCACTGTGGGAGGTAGGGTCTTTCCCCCCTCTCCTCTGAAGTTTTCTCCCACTATGCCACTTTTCAGAAGCTTTCCTGCTCCTGCTTACTGGGCGGTGCTGCTTGCTCCTGCGGGACCGCCCTTGTTATTTACAGTTCCACGTGGGAAGTGGGTCTCCCTCCTTTCCTGCTGGAGTTTTCCCTCCCTCCTCCACTCTTCACAAAGCTTCCCCCCCTCCTGGTGGCTGGGCGCGCCCCGCTCCCACCAGAGCCTCTCTGGCCCTCCTGGCTTGTTTATTTTACAGTCCCGGGAAGGGTTCCCTCCCCCAATCTTTCAGCGCTCAGGGCGCCCCCACCCTCTTTCCAGCGTGTCTTAACTGTTCTTATTGCTTATTACTCAGTTCTCTTTTTTTGTCCCGGGTGGAGGTCTGTCTGTCAGGGGGCTATGCGGCTCTGGCCCAGGCTTGTTATGCCTGCAAAGTGTGTCTCCAGCGTCTCTCCAAGATTTCACTATAGGGGGGTCGCTTTCTGCTTCCTACCTCTAGCCGCCATCTTGTTATTCTCCCTATCAAACACTCTTAATAAAAAGCCTCTACATCTGCCAAAACTCTTGCTGCTAACACCATTCTTCCTTCTTACTGCGTGTAAGGACTCCCAAGTATATTTTCACTTTCTCTTTAAGGACTTCTTAAGGAAAGAAATCATAAAAGACCTATCCAAATTTTTCTTTATCTCATACAAATATTTCCCAAGGGGACTCGATATGCACACTGGTTGCAGGACATGAGAACAGCCCATCCTCTGGGCTCTGCTATGACTTTGATAAGACATTCACTTCTTCCTGATTTTATTAAGGTACCAAACCCCAAAACAGTCTCTTGTTGGACCTCATTTCTCTATTTTTAGGGGAATAGGTTTTGATAGGAAAGTAATGGACCTTCAATTCTATTTAAGGAAAATTAAGTATTCTAGGAAAACATCTCACCATCTAGGATTAACATTTGAAAGGTTATGCATTTATGTAATCCTCTCCACTGTAGCAAAGACAGCTAACTACCACCAATTTAAATGAGGACAAATGCTTATCATTGTGAGAAGCAGAATGGCCCACCTTCTCTCATTTAACTGGAGAAGGAGGCAGAATACCAACTCTCCACCCCAATATCAGACTCCCTAAAAATAAACTATTAAAATACAAAAGATTGCTATCACCCAGTGTATACTGCTATTGAAAATTATTCTAAAATCAAAGGAAAAACACTCTCTCTTATTGGTAATACCTAAGATCTCTATTTTGATATCTAAAGAGGCTACTTGTCAGAAAGCAAGATTCTGTTCCCTCTTAATCCTAGCTGTTGGTCTCAATGTGCCTAATTACTGAACTCTTAGCAAGCAAGGACTTCCAAGAGGCCCCAGAAATAGGAATAGGCTGGGGAATCACTGCTCTAGGAGGGAGGGTACCCCCTTTCCATGGTTTCATAAGGTTGCTGTACTCTGATGTCCCCTTGTCAGAGTACAGCAGTCTTTGGCTCCTAATTAAAGCAGGTGTGGTGGGATCTTAAATATAGAGGAGTTCCAATAAGAAATTAGAGTGGCTATACTCATCCCTTTTCCTCACTTCCTTCTTCCTATTTCCTCTTGGCACAGAGTGAGACTAAATTAGATTGGTCCTTTCTGATCATTAAAGAATTGGGGAGCTGGAGGTGTTGTTCAAGTGGTAAAACACCTGCCCAGCAAGCACAAGGCGTTGAGTTTAAACCCCAGTACTGTCTCCCCCACTAAAAAAAAAGAAGAAAAAAATTGGGGATTTTAAAGAAGAGGGAATAAGAAAAAAGGAGTTAATGTTCTTCTACAATAGAGCATGGCCTCAGTATAAATTAGAAAATGGACAGACTTGGCCTATAAATAGGAATCTGAGATTTAATAATATTCCTCAATTAGGCCTATTTTGAAAAAGACAAGGAAAATGGTCTGAAACTCCACATGTTCAACTTTTTATGGCTTTGCACCAGAACCGTAAATACAGAGAGCAATTTAAAATTTATTATGCTCCTGTATCCACATTGAAAGATTCATTAGGGGGTTGGCGGAGTGGCTCAAGCGGTAGAGCACCTGTCTAGCAAGCGTGAAGCCCTGAGTTCATAAACCCCAGTACTGCCAAAAAAATATCCACTGGAAGACAGTTTTTTAGAGCCCTCAGCAGACCCTCTCTTTCAGGTTCCCTTGCTCTTGCAGAGGGAAAGGAGGAGCCTCAGGCACCAGCCAGTCCTATTACTTCTACTACACCCACCACCCTGAGGTCTTCAGCTACTCTATTCAGAACTTCTAGCTTGTCCCCTACTTCTGCCGTATCATTCCCTGTCCCATCTCTGTCTTATTAGCTGCAGTCTATTTACCCTTTCATAGCAGAATTGAGAGCTTCTGGAACAATGTACAACGGAGCCTCATATCATTCAGAGGCAAATAAAATGTGCCCCCTGAGGGAAATAGCAGGGATAAATGCAGGAATAATACAAATACATGTTCCTTTTTCTATGGCAAATGTGTCTCAATACAAAGCCAGACTCAAATGGTTCTCCAAGAGCCCTGAAATTTTTATATATGAATTCAAAGCTTTAACTGCTACTTTTGACCTGACCTGGGCAGATATGCCATATTTTCAGTTTACTGTTCTACTGAAAAGAAACTTGAAATTTGGACAATGGCTCAGAATTATGCTGATGATATTCATGTATGGGAACCAAATAAGTCAGTAGGGACTGCTGTAGTACCTAATACTGATTTGGAATTATCAAATCAGGAGTGAAAATTTAAACGTAAAAAAATTAAGATTACTTGTTTAATTAAAAGAATGAAAAAAATCAATACATAAGACCATCAACTATGAAAAATTAAAAGAAGAAAAGGATGCTCTGTTTCTAACTTGACTAACAGAAACCTTAAGGAGATATACTAACATCAACCCTGATTCAGCAGAAGGATACGTACTTAGGACTGACTTTTATTAGCCAGTCAGCACCAGATAGCCATCAAAAATTACAAAAAACCAAACCAAACTAAAAAAAAAAAAAGAATGAATCTTCAAACTCCACTTAGAGAACTAGCAATTTTGGCCTTTGGGATTTTCACCAACCAAGATATAATGGAAAAACAACAACAAAGGTTAGGAGTTGTCAGTTGCAGCAGAAAAATAAGATCAATTATTTGCAGAAAAAAAAAGAGGAAGTATTGGCTATGGTTATGAAATTTCCCTCAAGAGGCAAGCCCCGTTGGTGAAAGACCCAGTGAAACTCAACAAAACAAGTTGACTCTGATTACCCAAAAGGGAACACTCTTATGGATGTGGAGAGCCAGAGCACTGGAAAACTTAATTGCCCCAAGAAGGAGGGGGGTCACAAAAACCAGGGATATGACCCCTTTGCCATGAGGGAAAACAGTGGAGTAAGGACTTTCTCTGTCTCCACAGAGAGGGGGCCGGGAACTGTTTCCAAGATGGCAGCCCTTGAAGACTACAGATACTTTTCTCCCTCCAATTGAGCCTCAACCTGAACCTGTTGAGTTGTTCTCAACATATGGCAAAAATAATGGTAAACTTCCTTTTGACTGGTGGGACTCTATATTCTGCCTTAACTGAATTCTCTGGACCCCTTTTAAAAAAGAGCTGCACAAGAACCAGTGTTAAGGACTTCTTGGATCAAAAGATTCAATTCTCTCCTGACCTCAGGCATGAAAATATGATTTTTCTCTCAAAGATTTCTTGTGCTATTAGGCAAAGATACTTTATTTTAGGGTCACAATACATGTAGATATCAGCTGCTGTGTACCATTCCTGGGAGCTCTGCTGTACCCCCACCAAAAGAAAATGATAATGTTCCTAAGGAGTTCTTGTAGCAATATATCCTCAAATTTGGGACACAGAAACACCCAACAAAGAAGTAAGCATTCAGCCTGTTCGTATTCACTTAAAAATCTCTTCTCACTTCCATCATAAGAAACAATATCCAAGCTGGGCGCTGGTGGCTCACACCTGTAATCCTAGCTACTCAGGAGGCAGAGATCAGGAGGATGGTGGTTCAAAGCCAGCCTGGGCAAATAGTTTGCAAGACCCTATCTCAGAAAAAAAAAAATCACAAAAAGGACTGGCAGAGTGGCTCAAGGTGAAGGCCCTGAGTTCAAGCCCCAATAAAGCAAAAAAAGAAAAGACAAGAAAGAAACAATATCCTATTTAGCCCAAAGCTAGGCATAGACTATAACCTTTAGTTTACAAAACTTGTAGTTTGGATTATTGGTGCCGTGCCAATATCCTTATAAATCTCCTACTCTCACTGAGTTTTATTGTTGTTGGTTTGTTTTTTTGTTTTGTGATACTGGGGTTTGAACTCAGAGCCTTACATTTGCCTCACAGGTGCCCTACCACTTGAGCCACATCCCCAGAGCTTGCACTGTTTTAAAATCAGAGAATATAGACTTGTACAGGACTTAAGAAAAACAAGTGAAGCTGTGGTGGTGATCTACACCATAGTCCCAAATCCTTATAATATTTGGCTCTTGATTTAAAGGATGCTTTCTTCTGCATACCTCTTGACACTGGAGCTTCATCAAAGTCAGTGGGCAACCGGACAGTTAACTTGAATCTTCCTATTCCAGACCATAGGAACTCATGATCTTCTTCCTCCAGAACTTTCAGCCAAACTAAAATGTCAAAATCAATAAACAAATAAATAGGCCAATACACAAACAATGTTCAGTTATATAATTAATTAATAATTCCTATGGACTTCATTATCAATTAATAGCTGTGCCAGTTTCTCAAGAGAGGCTCTGTGTAGTAAAAGAGGAAAAGTTTAATAAGCAAACATATTTGATTTTCATCTTTAAACATACTTTATACTCTTTAATGGTACGGTTTGGAATTGGAGTGTCCTCCAAGGACCCTCCAGCTGAGGAGGGTCTTTGCCATCCCATGGTGCTAATGTAGGTGGTAGAACCTTTAAGAGTTGAAGCCTAATTCAAGGAAATTAGGAAATTAGGGGGTGTGCTTTTGCAGGGGATATTGGGCCCCAGTCCCTTCCTCTTCTTCGCCTTTGTACTTTTGACCATGAGGTGAAGTTTTTTTCTGCTAAGCGCTTACACCTTGATGACCTACCTTACTTTAGGCCCAAAAGCAATAGGCCAACTGATCTTAGAAGGAAACCTCCAAAATTGTTTGAGCCAAAATAAACCTTTCCTTTCTTTAAGTTGATTATCTCACGTATTTTATCATGGAAATGGAAACCTGACTAACATATTTAGCACATTCTTTAAAAAGTAGTTCTAACAAAGCTGTAGTCTTCTTACATATTCATGAGGTTAATGGAGAGTGTTCTGTGCCAGTGCTGGGTGTATTAAATTGAAGAAACATTATAAAGAACTTAGTAAAGTACCTGACACTCAGTAGGTACTCAAAAAGCAGCAATATCCATTCTACACTGTAGTGAAGGAATGAAAGCGTTCCTCATGGAGAGCCAGGGAACACTGGTTACTGGAAAATGAGAAAATGAAAGCTACATTTTAGGGAGATGACTCGGGTAGCTGTGAGCAGATGGCCAGGAGCCTGGTGAGAAAGCTATTTCAACCAACTCTTTAGCCTGTAATGATAAGGGCCTCCCATCTAGTAGTAAACAGAGTAGAAAAGAAGAAGCAGGAACCAGAGGGAGAAAAGGGAAATCGGCGTGTCTCAGAACATGGAGAACAAGGAAGGAGTGAGTTTAAAGGAGGGGGTGTGGCCAACACAGTGAGATGGTGCCAGGAAGTCAGGGAAAAAGGGACCTTCAAATGTCCTGCTGTTTGATCTGTGGCTCTGGGAAGACGTGGCTAGGGTGAGGGACTCAGAGGGAGGCACGATAGCTTTCCCACTTAGGCCAGCCATGTAGGAGATGGGCCATGCAGGGCCTTCCCTGGGTGCCCTCTCAGAAACAGAATCTACCTTAGAATCTACCTGAGAACAAGTGCCAGACCCTAACTCCACTCTTCATGGAAGGGAAGATGTTTCCACTCAGACTCATGAGGGTCTGTACGGAGCTGGAGCGAGGACTGAGGACCGGATGGGACTCCTGAAGGCTGAGAGCAAGCTGTTTGTAAGCCACATTCTCTGATGTCATGTACCTCTGTGTTGCATTCCTATCATTATTTCCTGGATATTGATAAAGTCCATCCAAGCATCTGAACTGCCAGCCTCTTTGAAATAAGTATGGACGTGGGCATTCCAGTAGAATAACGATAGTTATCAGTATGCAATCCCCAACAAGGAGAAGTTGATCCTGGGAGAAAGAAGAGTGGAAAATCTGTGCCCAGCCTTCCTTATTCACATGAACAGTCTCCCTCCTGCACCAGCCTCAGGTCATCCACATCTAATTTCATGTAAGAAGATGGGTTCCCTTACTCCCAGGATCCTTGGGATCCTAGGCAATAATCAGGAGCCAAATTATGACTAGGAAATATAGCACAATGTACACATCTCAAATGTCATCAAATATCTCAAACATCATCAAAATGTTATATTGGGGACTCAGGTTACAGCTCGGTGCTGTAATGCTTGCCTAATATGCACAGGGCACTGGGTAATCCCTAGTACAGGACAAAACAAAACAAAAAAAATGGCTATAAAACAAATTGAACTCAACTATTCAGAAATCCAATTAACTATTATTAAGGTGAGATTTGGTTTCCTATTTCTTCCTATTTGCCATAAACTAATTTCTTCAGGCAAGTACTGGTAGGCCACTCAGACTATCTGTCAATTACAGATTTGTATGAATAAAGCCATGTTACACTGTGATCAGTGCCTGTTGAGGCCACTTCATGTTGTGCAGGGTGTCTACAGGAAAAGAACACATTGCTTATGACTACAAGGGAAAGCCACCCATTGCTAGCAAATTGCTGATGGCTTGCTTCTGAGAAAATCATTCCTCAAGTAGGAAACTGAAACTAATGGGGATTTCCATGCCCTAAGAACTCTGACCATAAATAGTTTTGAGTTTTAGTAAGTGTTGAATCATCTGTGCTGGGAGGTAAGACAAGAGTGACCACTTGACCAGCCTGGGGGTGGAGGACAGAGGTAGTGGACTGGAAGCTGGGAAGGATCAGAGAGGCTGAAATCATCATTACTTCTTTGAGGCTAGAACTGAGTTCTTTATCATTACAAAAATTGTATTTTGTGCTGTTTGTACTTCTATGCTGTACTTCATTTCTATTTTTGTTCAGAGATTCAAAGAAGTCAGAGACTCTCGGACCTTAGCCATCAGGGTCGCACGGGGGAGGGGTAAACACTGCACTGAATCTCTAGCACAGAGGTGGCAGTCCTCCAGGTGACCAAGATGCAGGTGTCCTGTGCCCCTAATGTCAGAGCTACTCCTGAAGACAGTGGGATTCCAGAGAAGAAAGAAACCCCTGAAGGCCACTTCCATAGGGATGATGATGGCTGGAATCAAAATGGGGAACACTCTAGGAGAAGAGAAAGCCAGAGGGGAATGACTGCCTCTAAGCAACTGCCCTTCTCAGCCCTCCCTGGTGAAGTTAATCCCCAGACAACACTGCACTCTGATTTTCGTAAGGGGTCTGAGCCAAGCAGGTCTCCTGTCCCAGTCCATCCTCTTGCTCTCAATCTGTCTCTCTCTTTTGTGTTTTCCTTTCTGGAATGCTGGGGCATTCCACTGCTCCACTGCATCTCTTCCAGAGCCCCCTTGCCTCTCCTCTGGCCCACATGCTTCCCCAAGTCCAAGGATAGGAAGGTGGCATTGCTTACATCCTGAGGATCACCACCAGTGTATGAAATCCCAGAGGAATAGGTGGCCTTCTGGGAGTCCCAGGTCTCTGAGTCCCCTGGATCTTCCCATTGCAGATCTGAGAAAGCAGGTAACAGGTGGGTCTTGACCTGCCTTCCTGAACAGGGACAGGGTGGGGAACAGAGGAGTCCTCAGCCGCTCAGAGTTCTGTAGGAGTGACCTTTTCCCATGCTCAAAGCTCTCAACCCACGTCACCTCAGAATTATCAGGGGTCCTCCCAAAGTGCGGCCACCGTGAGACCCACAGGAGACACGAGCAGGCCCTGGATAGAGGTACACAGCAGTGTTCTATCTTTCTCCTCAGGATATCACACCAAAAAGGGCAACAGTACCTCTGTCTTCCTTCCAAGTGACCTCAGTACCACTGAATCTCCTTGACCTATGAGCAATCCCCGTGACTCCCCCACGTTACTTATTACCTTTTCTTCCCCCACTTAAATAATCATAACAGGGAATGACAAGGATCACAGGTAATAGACTGACGCGCACAGTTCAGCTGCCACCTCCAGGCGGCGCCCGGGAGCAGAGGAGCCGCAGCAGCCGGGTGCGCTCTGAGTCCATTCTGCCGCACTCCACCCTGCGATCTCCGTGGGAGGAGACAGTACATCTTCCCGTGAGGGAGCCTCGTGTGCCCCACCACCAGTTTCCCCTGAAGAACATGCCGGTGGCTCCCTCCTCACCCCTTCCCTTGCTCTCTCACCATCCTCCCGATCGAAGAGCACCATGAAGTGCGGCGGGCTCCCGGGCTGCTGGTAGACCTCACACTTGCAGCTTGGCGTACTCCGTCTCTGGAAGTACATCTGCAGCCCTGTGCTCAAGTTCATCGGAGGATTCCAGCCCCAAGACCCCTCGACCAGCAGACGGTAGGAGCCGGATGCAGCCATCCTAGACTCTTCTAGTCAGCCAGGACAGACTGCCCAGGCTGCCTGACTCGGGAAAGTTCACTTTGCCTCTTCCGTTTTCAGTTCCTACTAACCCCTCCCATCGCTAAGTTTCTGTCTTCAGCTCAGCTGCCCCAGCATTGGAATAGTGTTCCCCACCCCAACATTCCCAATCCTCCACCTTCTTCCTTCACCCATAGCAAAGACTAATCAATAATTAAGCCTTTTCAATGCGAGTCAACTCCCAGTATAGCTATCCTTATCTCAACGAGCAAAAACCCTTGTTCCTTCCTATTATTGCTTATACTCTCTCTACAACAAAATTAGAAATAAGGGCAAGTAGTTTCTGCTGGGTATTGAGGGGGTGGGGGTGAGAGGGAGGGAGCAGGGTAGGTTAGGGAGGGGGCGGGGGGAAGGGGGGAGAAATGACCCAAACATTGTATGCACATATGAATAAAATAAAAATACTACTGAGAAAAAAAAGAAATAAAATTTAAAAAATAATAATTAAGCCTTTTTATGCCAACTCCAGGCACCTGGTCTCCCTCCGCCTGCACAGAGGTATTTCCAACACCGCCTACCACTCACCCAAGCCACGCCTGAATCTTGAAAAACCACAAAGACACTTTCTTCTTATGCCACAGGTCGACCTTTGATAACAGAAGAAAATTGGTCCCAAACTGTGACCCTCTTATGACATTCGCTGGGACTTTCAATAATCAATGCACTTATCAAAAGTTTGCTTTCTTCCATGCTTACCTTCTTTTAAGTTTTGTCTCCTGGGCTATGAACACTACATATCAACAAACATGGAGAAACGGTACATTTCCCTTTTTTGTGTAGTGCCATGCAACTCAGGATGGATTCAGCCAAGAGACACACAGTCCCCAACCCCACTGAGCTCTTGCAGCTGCAGGGAGCACAGGAGTTAGTACAGTGGATAAGACCTGTGGAAAGGAAAATACAGGTAAATGAAGAAGAGTTCCTAGCCCAGTGTGAGGGAGTTTGGGAGAGGTTATGGTATACCTCAGGCCTAAGGAGATTAAGAACTGACTTTAGAGGTCTGGCAAGTGGGGGAGGACTTCATGGCTGATTTCCTTGTTCAGGATCATTCCAGTTGTAGCAAGATGGCTACAGTGGAGTCTGAGAGGCCAGCCAAGTGACTGTCCAAGTATCCCAGGTGAATGGAGGCTGGCTGAGACCAAAGTACAGAGGAAGAGGGAGAAAGAGTGATTTAAATTTGTATTGAAGACATGTGAGTCAGGAAAGAAGGAAAAAATCAAGATGACTCCATGGTCATCCATGGGTGGCCGAAGCAAGTGGCTGAAGAGTAATTGCACTAGGACATGGGAGGACCCTAAGGCAACTGGAGATGGGGAGAGAGGCTGGGGATGCGCGTGTACTTCACCCATGATAGAAGTGTTTCCAATCATAGGGGGTGGGGCATCGTATTTACAGTGCCAAGAGTACGTCAGTTGGGGCAGTGTCTGTTGGTCTGCTGGGGGCCCAGCATCCCTGACTTCTGGGGAGAAGGGCTAAGAGAAAGGGGTAGTGGCCTGAGGACTGACAGAAGGAGGAAGCAGCAGCAGCAAGTCCAGCAGGCTCTTCTCAGAAATGTAGCCGTGTAAGGGAAGGAGACAGGCAGCAGCTAGGGGGTTATCAGGGAGTTGTTATTTTTGTTTCCTGGATTTAAACATTTTTTTTATCATAGAAAGTCTTAGGCATGTTTAAATTTTTGGTAGAAAGAAGGAACAGTGGAAGACACTAGTCATGGGAGAAGATGGGAGGGCTTCCTGGTGTCATCAACCTTAGGGGAAGGACAGTCCCCAGGTCCCAGCAGCAAGGCAGGCAGAGATGGAGCACAGCAGCAGGTCATTCTGAATGAGCACTGGTGGGAAGGTCTGGGAGTTCTCACACTATGTTCTCTTTGAAAGAGAGATGAGGACTCTTAGACCCTGCTGAAATTGGAGCTGCTTTCCCCTGCAGGGCTGGACCTTGCATATTATCTCTTAATCATAATGAAGTCAAATTTCAGGATGGTGAGAAACAGAAATGGTCCAAAGAGAGTTTCCTAGGCTTTTATTCCTTATCTATAATAAAGCTGAACAGTGTCCAGATATTTTTCTCCAGACTTCACCTTTCTACCTGCAGGTGGCACTGGGGATCTGACCTAAACAGCCCTAGAACCCAGGAAGGAAAGTGCACAAGATTCAGCAGGGTGCAGCATAGCCCTCAATCAAACTACGCTAACTCTCCCAGGATCTGCTCTATCTCACCCCCAAACACAATGAAAATCAGCAATCCCTCTCCAAGCATTGGAGACCAGAACTGAGAAATGGGTTCTGTTTTCTCATACTATCTGTTTAGAAGAAATAAGTCAGAGCAAAGTTTTATTTATACTAGAGGTTTGCTGGCTGTTTGAGAATCCTTTCAAGATTTAGTTTTCAGAATGTGACTTGCCACTCAAGGACTGATTACAACTTCTGGATGGATTGGAAAGGAGCCACTGGGGATCAGAATAGCAGGTCTTGAAAGCCACATAAAGAAAGTATAAAAGGAGAAAAGTGTAGAGCATCATTAGCCATGCAGTACTGTTGTTCTCGAAGTTATTTCTACCTAGTCGCTTGAACTCTTCTTCTTTAGCATCACAAACATCCTTCTTACTTCTGTCTCCTATGATATCTGCCTCTTGAGACTTCCTTCCTTCCTTGGAAGCAAGTGTCCCCTCAAGGCCTGGGCAGTATGAAGGCGCTGATAGGCAGATGAATGTCATTCCAATATAGAAGGGAGGGCCATGTTCACATCCCTGTTCCTTGGTTCTTCTTCCATCTCACTGCCACAGGTAATATCAGTACAATAACCTATAACAGTATTTTAGGGTTGAAATTCCCTTGCCTATTTCATCTATTTTCTTCTTTTGGCTTCTCATAGTCTTCATAGGTAGCATCAGGCTTCCTCAAAGCCTCTACAAATTACCATTAGGCTCTCAATTTCTCCCTTGCAGTGTATATTGAGGAAAGGGTCCTTTCCCATCCTCTCCTGAATTAGTGAGTTTGGGAGTGCCTCACACTCTCCTCTCCACCACACCATGTTCTGAAACTCTTGGCCCAGTCTCCTCAAAATAGTATTGGGAAAGGCCAAGGAAGAAATCTCCAAGAATTCACCTTCAAGAGGGGTTACTTGATGTCTTTACTTTTATGTGTAAATTTCTTTTAGGAGCCTTATCTTCTTCAAGCTTCTCTGGGGCAAGTCTCCAATACCTCTCAGTCAGCCAGTACAGGAATCCCCAATGGTGCATTTTACTAATAGGAATAATATGGGTTCACTAGTACTACAGAAGGACAGAAGTGCAGGGTGGCTTCTAAAGAAGTCCAGAATAGACTTGATCTTTCCAAGTTTGGAAAGTTAAGAGTAAGGTACAGTAAAACTTTTCTATATGTCCAGTTAGTTGATCATTGAGCCAGACACACATCTCTCTTAAGACAAGCATTGATTCTCACAGAGAACAATCTTATTAACATATATCATGCACAATCTCCACCAGGGATATGCTGTGAAATATTGAACAGTCATCTCTCTGAGAAAAATTTCTGCATATGTATGCATGTTTATTATCAGTTTTCTTGATATAATTACTGCATAGCACATAATTTATAAATAATAAAATATACAATACTCTATTGTAATTACAATAAACCAAGCAATTCTCAAAGCATGTTCCAAAGACATTTACCAAGCCCAATCTGTAACCAATTATGCTTGCAATTGATGGAATAAGTGTAGTTTGCTGGAAAAAATACAGATTGACACTTTTGTTTACACTAACAAGGAAGATGAAAATGAAATGATGAAGACATATATTAGAACTTTTGTCAGTGACATGGCTTCTTCACTATTGAAATTGGATGTTAGTTTCAAATACTGGAGGAATATTTTCTCAATTATGCTTTTTTCCCAAAGCAATGCAACACAAATGTGCATTTGTAAACAATCTGCTTATTGAACATAGTACTTCAGAAGTATTATGGTGTAGTGGCTTATACTCAGTAGAGAAGCATGCTGCCTCTGAAGTCTAAATAATGACAAAGTTACACCCAATTTGTAGTGTTTCCAATTCTATGGCTCAAATTTCCCACCATGGTGATATGTCCCCAATTGATATCACTGAACACAGGGCTGGGAAGAGATGAACCTAGCAAGAAAATACAATGTTTTTACCGTGCAGATACAGCAAGCATAAATAACAAAGAGTGATAATAGTAAGATGGAGTCAAATAATAGGAAGTGATGAATTTTAGTACTTATTCCTTTTAAAATATAAATATATTACATATAATTGATGTAGATCCCAATAATGGCGGTTATCAACTGCTCACGTAATTTCTGAAAATTTGAGAATCAACACTGTAAGCTATTATGAGCCAGATCCATCAAAAAGTATGCTCAGCTCC